CTGACCCATAAGAGAAGCTTCAAGCAAGTGGGTTCTCCAAAGGACCTGATCCATGGGAGACATTGTCCCGAGCTTTGCACCCTTGTTCTGTATCTTGACAATGCTCATGAGATTGGAGAAGAGGATAACGGACATGGTTCCGGCGATGGTTTTGACAGTGGCAGGGCCTTTCCCCATCTTCAGCTGGTCGAGGCATTTAATCACAAGCTCCCTCAATGGACCAATCTTAACCAGAAGCAGGAATGCAATCGCACCTTCCGCAAACAGGACCACAAACAGTAACTGAATCATACCCCCTAAAGCTTGTTCCTTTACCACACGCACAAGCTAAACCCTAATCCCTAACTCCTCACTCTCCGTCTTGGGAATGAAATTTAAACCAAAACCCAGATCGGAGGACAAAGAGAAAGCAGCGAATTATCTAAAACCCCTTTGCTTTTTCAACAAATCGGTCAGCTAAAGAAGACACATGACTCATTCCTGATACCACCAAGAAATCATAAAATGGAGAGGACTAAGAAGAATCGAAGTCGAGAGATCGAAGAAGGCTATCGGTGTTTCAGCAGTAGAGATGAAACACTGAAAAGCCAAGAAAGATCTGAGAGGAGTTCAGTAGAAAGCATAAAGTTCAAAATGTTGTTTTACTAATCTAGAGAGAGAAAGAGAGATCAATGGTTGTGATTAATGGTGTAATAATTATGTCAAACTCAAGATTTCAGGAGTGCATTCTCGTGCCTTTTCATTTGCTTTTGCCTGACGTAATTTTTCTTTTCTTGCCTTACTTTAGAGAGAGATGACTATTATTTTTTTTTTTTTTTCATCACTGGAATTATATTAATTATATTGAATATGAAATGATTACGAAGAGAGACACAATTGAAACACAAAGAGATCACATTGATCTTCCCCAAACCTACAAACATAAGAGGATGGGATTTTGCGATGAAACAATGATAAAACCAAACATAGCATTGTTTTGAGTCATTTGAAGGACCACCAAGAAGAATTTATGCACAACAACTTTGAAAAGAGACTTCTAACACTTTAGGTAATAATTCATAAACAAAATCTGGCTTTCTCCGAAAAAAATGAGTCTCTTTCTATGTTTTGCCTTTGTCCAAATTATCCCGGATGAGATAGCTTCAAAGAAACAATCTCAAATAACCGCCGGACAAATCGAGAACCGCAAACTCCTTTCAATATCTCCACACCATGATAATCAGAACAACAAACGACTAAAACAAACGAGACTAATAACATTGCGAGGATAAAAACCCAGCCAAAATCTCCATCTCCACCCTAGACTTGTTCTCTAGTTGAAGAGGATTAGCAGTGCCCAAATGAAGGGTAGCGAAAGCCTCAACAGAGGGAGCATTTGAGAAATGGTGATCATCCAAAACAAAAACCATAGACCCACCAAGGGAAAGCTTCATCTGCATACCATGTCTAATGGAGAAAAACATAGACAAGATCTCACAGAATTAGAACCCGAACTATGCCCACCACTAAAGACAAACTCCGACCAAGGCTGACGGTGACAAGGAGCAGTGAACGACAAGAGATCCCAGAACAGATTCGACAGAAGACGAGATCTCGACATCAACAGAACTGAAACCCTCACCAGGTTGATCTTCCCCTTCCACCACATGCGTCCTAGTCCGAATCTAACATCCACACTTCGCCGAGCCCGAGCACTGAGCAACAGATCTGAAGCCCAAACCCTCTATGACGAGCCTCTGATTGGAACCTATAAAGTAAACCCGATGAAAAGGAAGAGCAAACGGACAATATACAGGAGCTCTGACATCGGCGTTGAGGAACCCGCCGACCACCGAACCCGAACACACAGAACGACGGTGAGATCTACTGAAGCGGCTGGGTTTTAGAGAGAAACTAGGGTTGAGATGACTATTAATTAACTGCACCTTTTTGTCTCGAAAAATTGAATACAAAGAGAATATTTTGAAAAATAACATAATCGAGTTAATATCTGGTAAGCTCATGTTGACTAAATCAATGTCTGGGAAGTTCCAGTTGTACTATGTGTTTTTTTAATTTTAGTTGTACTCCAATTTTTACAGTTGTACCAAAGTAATACCATAGTTGTACCATGGTACAACTAATTGTACTAAATGAAAAGGAGTATGTTAGACAAAAGAGGAGTACGCTAGAACGGAGTTGGCACAGATTGGAGTATCTCGGACATTTGTCAAACACAATTTGAAAAAATCTTTCTAAATCTACCTTAATTTTAAAAACCTTTTTAAAAATACCACAAAACATTGTACACTTAAAAAAAGAAGATATTTATGACCTTAGCTATAACTTATGCAAAAATGAGTATTTTTTGTCCACTAGAGTTTCTGATTTTTTCCACCACCAGCCATCACCATATTTGTTTTTTGTCCACCACCGCACCTTTGTTTTTGTCTACAACCACCGTCTCCATCTCTGTACACCGCAGTCTCAGTCCATTGTCTCCGTTTCTGTCCACCATTCACCACCGCCTCCATTTTTGTCCACAACCAGCATTTTCGTCATTGTCTTCCACCACCGTATTCGTCCTAAACACCATCTACCACCGTCTCTGTTCTTGACCACCATCTTGTCCACCACCATCCACCGTCTCTATTTTCGTCCACTGTCATCACTGGTTTGTTCATCACCATCCCGTCTCCGTTTTTGTCCACCGTTACCACCATCTCGTTCACCACCGCCACCATCACTATCCCGTCTCTATTTTCGTCCATCATTATTACCGTCTTGTCCACCACCACCACCATCTTTTTCTTTTTCATCTTCGTTCATCATCAAAT